CTTTTGAGGTTAAATACTTTGACTTCCTCCTAATCACTCTAATGATGCTCACAATTACAACTATATTTGGTGAGGAACAAATCAATAATGGCTTCAGAAGATGTCTCTGAGTGAAGAAAATCCTAGAGCAAATCCTCAAGGTCATAGGTAAGGTAATTGTTGTTCTATATTGACATAATAGCAGCTATAAACGTTCAGCTGGATCAATGAAAAGTAGTATAATTCAAGTTAATTGTAGCTGCAACACCGACCAAATGAAGGCGTAACTCTAAGAAAGTAAACGTCAAGGTCAAACAATGCGCTCAGCTCCACAGGTCGATCGATAATACTGCTGCAGTGTGATGTATTGTAGCAGACAAGAACATGGTTGTAAGATTTTTAAAAAAGGTGAAAACGGTAGATTGGGATTTCCTCAATTATACACAAATAATTGACTTGGAATCACTTAAAATTGGGTCATGAAGTTTTCTAGAATTTGACTGAGCTTCAACATGACATTGTGATAGCATTAAGGTTGGGGTAAGTGCATTAATTTTTCATAAATAATACAATGTTTTTTGTTTGTTCCAGTCTCGTGAAAGTAAAATGTTGTGAATCAGACCATTACATGCTGTCATCATCCTATTAGATTTAATTTTTAATGTTTGCATATTTAGTGAGAAACACGCATCACTATTTGATGCGTGACAGAGGCCAAAAATACATGCACGCACACACACACACACACACACACAATAAAACGAGGAAATATAACGAGCTATAAACAGTATAGAATCACATATAAAAGTGGATCCTTTACTGTTCTTCCCATCAGATCTAAATATACAATCATGCGAGGCCGTTAAATAAACCAGTGTTCCCCAACCTTTTTGAACCATTGCACACCTTTTTTTCTTTGAGAACTTTCACATGGCCCACCACCGGCTAAAACTAACACAAACTTGAAACTCTGCAGCCTTTACTAACTACATAAAGTCATTCTCATTAAAGTTTATTATAAAGAAAATCCAACAAGTGCAAAAAGGTCTTTGTAATATTCTCACATCATTACCATAATTTGATCAATAAAGTACTACTTGGTCATTTCCAAAAGCACACTAACCACCATCTCAAAGCACACTACGTTGCCACGGAATACAGGTTGAAAAACACTGGAATAAACTACAAAAAACACCTGGTTCCATTCCTTAGGCTTCGGTAACTGTGATTATGTGTCGAATATGATCCATTTTAAATCTTCAATATCTAACAACACCGACGAGTGATCATCTGGAACAATTAAACAAATAAAGAAGAATAATGTAACGGTGGCATGGACACATCTGTACCGTCTTAACACCCGCAGCCAATCATCGTAACCGCTCGACTGCGCTAACAAGACAATTACAATGATTTCCCTTTTACCCCTGCTATAATTTAAACTCATCCACCTTATTATTGTTTACCCCTTTAGACTATCTCCTGCTAATGAGTGAGTCATATCCGATCTGCGTATTCATTTGGAAAGATTTGTCTCAGCAAACCTGGAGTTTACCGAGGCGTGACGAGAGGCTCCCTATTTGAAAACGGACCACTTATCAAAATGATCATCCCGGAGTAAGAGATGCTTATACATAGAGAAAGCATGGCCGTGTGATGTGCTCATTAGTGCGGAGGCTGGAGCAAAGGCACAGATGCGAGAGATCAGGGAGTTTGGAGGTAAAAGCACAAGTGATTAAGTGAAGAGATATGGTTTAGATCAGACAAGAACATGGCATAGAAATGAACGCGGTCATCCAGCTAGTCCTCCGCTTCAAAGTGTGAATATGTGACTACACTGACATTAAGCTAAAAGTACTACTGTGAACTGTGATTGCGGGGGATGTGTTATAATGAGGTCTATAAAAAGTAATCAGGCCATATAACTGTTAAAAGTCATGTCTTTTCCTAGAGCCTGGATTACTTCCCATAAAGCAGTGATAATAATATAAAGTTACATTGGTTCATACAACGACTGTACTGTAATACTCACAAATCTGAGCAGAAAAGAAGTGGAACGTAAAATACTTTTGTTTGCATGTGTTAGAACCATAGACTGTAAATAGGAATGGACAATGTTAACGGTCATGGTTGTTTTCTGTGTCTTTTTTGGTTTTACTTCCTGTACTGTTGATTGCCTGCCCCGCCCTGATGTGTGTCACCTGTATCTCCCATTCCTTGTGCTTTTTGTCAGTCCGTTGTGCGTTTGTTCCTTGGTTCTTTTTTTTGTCCCCAGCTCCTTTTTTTACATTCAGCCGAGTTTTGTTTGTGGATTATTGTTTATCCAATTATTATTATTTGCAGTATTGTATTTTGGGTCCTTCCTCATTTTTGAAACATGAGACTAACCTGCTAACTTTGGCCCCCATTCAAATAAAATATGTGGCGTATGAAACTGGAGGTTGTGGTATACTATTGTCTTTGTAAATCCAGATATGAGTCCTAACAACTGACCAATCGGGAGCCCTCCCAAGAGCAGGAATAGACCAGTGCCTCTTCTGATTGGTTCGTTCGTGGCAAGGTTGTTGCTATCCACAAATTTGGCTCCAGATCCCTGCCTATGAAGTTTGAGTGAGCTCTAATCGGCTTCTCCCAAAAATAGGCAAACTATATAAGTGTCAGCAAGATTAAGTTAAACATGTGCACTATTGTTATTTAGTTAGAAATGTTTATAATTTATGTATATATGTGTTAGTTTGGATGTGTTGCTGCTGCTGGACACCTGGATTTCTCCTACGGGGATCAATAAAGTATCTATCTATCACGTGGCTAGTTCAGTCTTTATTACAATCAATGGTAAGAAATGTTTCTAATTCTTAAAGGTCCTCTTTGTAACTTTTTTCTGCTAGTCCTTATAAGCAAGTAATCTGTTCATATAGTGCTTTTCACATACCAGGTTCACAAAGCTATCTTCATGTATCCAGCTTGTACTCATTCAATCCAACCTGCTTGTATATTCTTGAATTTCTAGTTTGAGTGGAATGGCCTCACCACAGAGCAGCCCCGTTAGAAAACAACCTTTATCCGTCCCACAGCAGTAAGAGCACACAAGGAGAATGAAAATATTCATAGATAATGCATTCAGCCTTTTGAAGAGTGAAAGTATTGAGATGCACTTTTGTTAATGACAAAACAGTTTTTTCCACCATCATTTGCAAATAAATTCTTGTGATTTCGGTTTTGTAATTTTGTCTCTCATAGTTGAAGTATATCTATGATGAAAATTACAGACATCTCTCATCTTTTTAAATGGAAGGACTTGCACTATTGGTGGCTGACCAAATACTTGTTTGCGCCGCAGTAAACTACCCAGTGAGAAGCTGAAAAGAGACATGACATCTTTAAACCCTTAAAGCCTTACTTTGAGATAACCACCACTTACTGTGTATTATATGATCAAAGAAAAACAACATCTCTAAAGAGTGAGTGATGAGTATTAGCGAGCCCTGTGGCTGTGGAAGAACAATTCCACAGTGAGATAATGAGAAATAGAAGGTGAAATTGCACAAAGAGAATGGGTCTGGAGCAGGAGGAGGCTGAGTGTGGCAGAGGAAGGTACAGTTAGTGGGTGGGGAATGAATGGACTGTGGCTCCAACCCATTCACTAATACCTGCTTCGCCTGACTTGAATCTTAATTGATGGATTGCGGTAAAATGACTCACTCAGGCTATTTTTAGAAAAGAAAACATTTTTTCCCTTGTGGCCTGAGAATGCTACTTTTAGCAATGGACACTGAGGTTTGGCTTTACTTTCTGTTTGCTGAAGAATTAGAGAATAGTTTTGAATAAGATGTGGTCTATAGGGCTGCTTTCTTATATTGATTTGTTTAATGCTTTGTGGTCTTATTTATACATGTATGAGTAAATTGTTCCAAAAACTCTTTTGTGGAACTTGAGGTTGAAAGTGTAAAATTCCCCTCTACAAAGATTGACATAAAAGAAAAGCAATTATCGGACCGTATAGTCATCTATTCAACAAGATAAAAGGTGTCATTCATTATGTCAGATGATAATTGATGTGATTATGAGTGGTGGCTATGATTACAACCTCTACCTACATACAGTATATCATATCTGCAGCCCACCGGCAATCACAATTCTCAAATCTCAAATCTGTCGTCCTTATATTTATGCATATCCATCCTAAACTAAAAATTAAATCATAGACTGTACTGTATATATTAACGGACATAGTCAAGCCTATCTCCGCCGTTCTAACTAATAGGCCAAAAATTGGGCTCTCATGGAGTGATTAAAAATGGCAGCGGGGGCTGGAAAAAACGCATCTGCGCATGCGTCAGCCGGGACCAGCTCCATTCATTTAAACTAGTGACTTCAAAAATTCACAGCGAGAAAACTAGACTGGTCCAAAAAACTCCCTTCAGCATTCACACACTCAGCTTTTGGTCAAGAGCCAACTTTTGGACCATCCTGTAAAGGTGTTTTTGAGAGGTCTGCCAATGCTATATGTTAGCATTGGCTAATTCTTATTCCGGGTCCACTCCCATCGGCCCGGGGTGGTATTGCAAGCATGTCAGCGCACGTCATTTTGGCCACTTTTGAGCCAGGACCCGCCCCCACTGAAATAAATGGGGATTTGATTGTGGGTTGGCCACAACTTACTTCCATGATGTTTAATGGAATATTGTTAAATACTTAAAACCGACATAATTCATTGTGATTGTCTAAACTTTTTAGAAAACATGTTATTCTTTTGCGTTGTTTTAACAAAGCCTTGTGAGGGACTAATTGGACGGTTTCGTCTTAGAGCTAAAGTTGGAGATTATTGACTTTTTTCTTATTATGCTAAAGATTAATATTTTATTTAGTATAATTTATTTTGTGCTGTGTGCTCCTCATTCCTGTTCTGTTACCTGTGATGCAACTCTGAAATGTACCACTGTGGAACGATTAAAGGATCTCTTAATCTTTTAAATTTAGGCACTCGAGCTTCAACCAAACAAACAGCATTGCTCTCTGACCTGTATTCCAATCGAGGAGCGAGGCGTCTTCAGGTACTCCTCTGCCTTGGACACCAGGATGGCTTTGTCGCACGTGAGCACCGAGCTATGGCTGTCTGTGGATGGGTGCCTTTTCCCCGCCATGGCCTTGGCCGCCTCCATAGCTAACGTGACGGCCTTTGTGCTGTCCAGGCTGTCCGTGGAGTTGTAAAGTGGTCTGCCAGGACTCAGGCCCAGGGTGAGGCCATCGGGGGTCCACATGGAGGTGCGGTGGCGGCCCTCGTGGTAGGCGTCCTGGGTGGATTCGGTGCTGCTCTGAGCCGTGATGGAGATGAGGGGTTTGGAGGTGTTGCGTGGCGGAACAGGAGGGGGGTCCTTCTTGTAGCTGGGTGTGTAGGTGATGGCTGTCGGGGGAGATTAAAATGATATTATGGATTTTTTTAAAAGAATAATTCATAATATTGATATGACGTTTTTGGTTAAATTTACAAAGAAGAATACATTTTGAGTCTGTTGTTAAAAGTCAATTGCTTTAAATTAAACTCAATGAATACACTTTTACGATTTAGTGTGGCTGAGCATAATGCAGAGAAAATTGTTTTGTTATATAAACGTGAAACCAGGAAAATTAGAGTATAGTTAAAATGTTCATTTGCTTCCGTGATTCAACACACATCGTGTTATATTTGTGATCATGTTAATGTTGAAAAAAAAACCAATAAAACATCTTCAAAACTTTAATATGTTTAAAATGGACTTACAAAGAAATTTAATGTTTGAAATATATTGGTTTCAAAATGGCAGTTGAATTACAGAAATCAATGAACTTTTGAACGATTCACATTTTCTGAGTTTCATCTGTTTGTATCAACAATGTGAATTATATTCATAATATTGCATATTATTATACAGGACATTAGTTACCTTACCTCTTCACCTGAAAGAATAGAGATGGCAAAAGAATACTTTTAACTTTCAAAGCTGGGATACCAAACTTTTGTATTCATTAATATTATTTTTTTGTTTCTAACAGCAGACAAAGAGTCTTGTAAAAGTAAAATATTGTGTAACAGATAAGACCCAAGCTTCTTTCTCATTGGAAACATAATATTTTGCATACTTGCAAAGAGCCTGTTTCTAACTGACTCTTCGAGCTGAGAGCTGATTGGCTGCGATCCTTTCTTATCTATTTTCAGCCAAAAAACGCTGACCAAACAATGTGATAGTTGCCATAAAATACATACATGTGTAAACTAGTTTCACACCCAAACTGTTATACCAGGAACTAGTTACACCCTTTTTAAATATTTTTTATACATTCTCATATTTTTATTTGGTTTGAAAGTTAGGTACCCCAGCTTTAAACATCTCTCATAATAAAATAGTGGTACAAGGTTGGCAGGTATTGCATAAAATATTCTTTTTTTTCACTAAAACCCATTTGAATTCAAGTACCATTTCTCAGTGCTGGGATTTCTTGCTTTACACAAGCAGATGAAAAACATAATCCAGTTGGAGATGAACTTCCAAGAATGGGTCACCATTTTCTGCTGGGATTCTTTCTGTCCTTTATTGTGAGTAACACCGCTGGTCAATGCAGCTAAAACTTTAAGGAGATCAAAGCAAAGCTAGGTACAATGAAAAGAACTGGGTGTAGCTTTCCGGACAATAGCTTTCAACACAGTGATGCAAGTCTGCCACTGCGAATCACAGTTTCCTGCACATTTGGTTTGGCCTTTCTCTCACCCGCGTCGGTTTATAAATACCGAGCCATGTCTGCGTAGGTCATAAAGAGACCCTTTGCTTGAGGCCTTTGAGAGAATGACTCAGACCCAAATTCATTCACAAACAAGTCCATCCGGTCAATTTAATGCAGGTATTAACATGGAACAAAATGAACCTGATAAGCGCTCCGTATAAGAGGGCAGCTGTGGGGAAGGATTTTGTGTGCGCGGATAAATCAAGGAGATCAAGGCGGCGAAGAGATGACCCATGATTCAGCAGGACCAAAATAGAGCCATTATGAAGCATCCAGTCGTTGCAAAGGGGGGGATATAACTCTAATTCGGCACACGGGCAGCAACAGTATTACTCAGCATTTAAATTTCACTTTGATGACCAGGGACAGGAAGAGTAAGGAAACATATCAGGTTTACAAAAGAGTACAGGCTAACAAGCTGCTCAAATGTGGAGGTTATCGTCGTTTATGCACAAAAAGGAGCGAAAGTGGTTAAAGTCACTCCGTGCTCCATATGAAAAAACATGTTAACTAATAACAAATGTGACCTTTTTAAGAATATTTACCTCCACCATGTTTTTTTATTTGTTTTCATAGGCTTAGAATTTAACTACTAAATGTCCATGAGAGCAGAGTCCTCTCTGTGTCAATGCGCCATCTTGAAAAACAGTGGTGAATGAGGGACAAAAAGGATGCGAGAATCACGTTTTCGTTTCTGCTGCTACTGATATCGTTGCTTTCACCGTGCCTTCACAAGTTTCAAGAACGAACCATGGAGGACCACAGTTGTATAAAAGAAAGACCCAAAAAACAATCTTTTCGAAAAATTCATTTCAAGGAATAACTAGACTGTAGTTATGGAGGCTTGTGGGGGTGACAATGGGTCAGTTGGCCTTCGAGCCTGGAGGTCGTGGGTTCGAGCCCACCATAAGACCTACTTCACGACTCCCACTGATGTCTGCTGTCGTTGTGTCCTTGGGCAAGACACTTAACCCCACTTTGCCTGAAGCCCCCGCTGAAAGATCAAGGCTCCTGTAGACTCACCACCTGCAGGAGGATCAGTGAGGGGCTGGTGCTATGTGTAATGGGTGCAGCTCTGACGGACACCCCCCAGACCCAGAAGTGGATTAAGGGGAAGAAAATGGATGGATGGACAAACTAGACTGTCTTTCAGGTGTTTAGATGCTAACAATCAGAAATAAACACTTATACAAACCATATAAACTGAACTGTAAAGAATATTGACCAAAAATATTGTTCAAACCAAGAATTTATAGCATGGCTTGCAAAATATATTTTATAATTATACATTTATAATTAATTGGATAGGATGATGTGACATGCCGCTATAGGAGGATCTTTGTTTATATTCGCGTATGCCACTTGCTGAAGCGTGGATGCGCCGAGTACTTTTAAAAGACTTAGTTGGTGAAATGCACTTTATATAAGCACTTTAACACAAAAAGATCAGATGAGATATAAAGACAAGCTAAAAATAAGTATATGAGACCGAACTGTACAAATCCAAAGCCCAAATGAGACCTGGGATGACAAGAAAAAACATCGGTCAGACTCGCCTCTGTCTTGGCACCGATCTACTTTTATAGACATTTATTGTCTATGGTGAAAAAACATTTCTTGGGTTTTATCCCCTTGGTAAAGTGGCCCGGCTTTTCGCCGTCGCGGTAAAGTGGTCTGCACATTAAAAGCGGGTTGTCTCTTTATGCTGTTACTTATGGTAAACGTGAGATAAAATTTTGTCCACAATATTTATGTTTACTATTCTGAAGCCTATTCTCCAATAGGAGAGCCGATGTGACACTTTTTCATGGTTTTTAAGAAAATGTAAAAACAAAAAAATAGCACCACACATTTGTTCGCTATGAGTTTGTACCATTTCTAGCTAATCTCCAGCAATAGAGCTTTTCGTTTAAACGAGATTGAAGAAGTGTGTGGTAACTACAACTAAATAGGTCAAAATTTGTTTTTAACATTTGTCACAAACATAAATGCAAATGTAGGTCTTGATTAGTCCCAAACAGGCTTTCAAACATTTATGAAAAATAATACTTGGGAACCTCTGTATGTACACTGCAAAAAAAAAAAAATCATAAAATATTAGGTTATTACTTTAATCAAGTGGGTAAAGCTCTGTAGCTTTGAAGAAAGGCTGGCTATACATTGAGATTTCTAGAAAACCTCACAATAGAAATTATTTGCATTTTGGTGCGAATAAAACAATTGTTTGCATATAATTTCATGAATTCTTTCACTGTACCAGAGGCAACCAGCTCTGTGCTGTTGTGCCTGTATCGCACCAAACACAAACGCAGTGAACCAGGCTCTCCATCTTAGCCACAAACCCTCTATCGATCACACAGCTGCTATGCTAACATCGGCTGGGCTGGGGCAAACTGAGTGACGTGCTATTAATGTGCTTTTTCCTCAACAGGATTTATCACTCTGCAGTCGTTTGTTAAGTGGCGGTGGGCTTTTAAGAACATGTGAACAATCCACTGTGAGAAAGAAAAATGGTCTGTGCAGTTGAAAACAAAAACTGTGGGTATGCAAAAGTCATACAGTATAACAAGGCATCTGTAAAAGCTATTTGGAGAATAGTGACAACAACAAAATATACATACATCAAAACATGCTGATGATGAAAACCTTAGCACAGTTTGGATGCTTCAAAAAGTTCACTGAAACCATCAAAATATAATGTAATTGGACAATTTTCTGCATATTTCTCTTGATGTCTGAATCAAAGGCAGTGATTTGGTCTAATTTGGTCTAAGGGTCTCTGTTGGTAATGGTGCCGGGACGTATCTCTGATAAAGCACTTCTCTGTTCTAAGTTAAATGTATGTGAGCGCTGCATTCTCAAGGACATATGGAAAACAACAGCCAAGACAAAACAAATACATCAATGCTCCAGTCTCGATGTACATGGAGAATACCGAAGAGGAATTATGTTAACCCTTGTCTCAGTGTCAGATCCTTGGACCTCGCCCTTCTGGCTTTTCCCTGTGTAAAACCGATCTTAGTAGAAGCTTTCTCTCATTATGCTCCTTGTAAATGGAACGTCCATAATGTCTTCAAATGTGCTCCGACATGCATTTAGGACGTACATTACTTGTAGAAAATGTTATCATAACCTAATGCAATTTCTCTAATGATTTTGTGTTAAAGCACAATAAGCTGCAGGTTTTGTACGAGATGTGTTATAATTACTTACTTGGGTGATAATAAATGCAAGTATTTGAACACAAGCACTCAGACTTCAATACTGTCGTTCATACTCCTCCATAGGGTAGATATTCAGTCCAGTAACAGTATTTTATGATATGACATTCATGACATAAAATTGAACAATCTTGTAAATAACATGAAATACAATTTAATTTGAGATTTAGCACCTGGCTTGATAAACAGTTCAGTATGTGTACCAGACCCGTATGGAATAGTGGTGGTGTATTATCGGCTGGTGTTCCACATGAATAAAACAATGCAACCCCATTAACGGCATTGCTCCCTTCTTATCTAACCAATTTAAAAACTTTTTAGCCAAAGTGTTCTGCACATTTTCATTTGAAGACAAACACAGAAGCCGGTCCCTTTGTGGCACGGCTTCACTGATGTTCTGCTGAAAGATTCTTTTTGTTTCACTGCACTTTATTAGAGCACAGACGTCAGCGGGCTGTTCTATACACAGACCGGTAATTGGACAGAAAAGACAGATAGAAGTTGTGATTTGTCTCGCCTTTAAGCTGCTGGCAAACACACTCCACTTAATCCTGGTCGACATAACGTTTTCCCTCTAATATTGATTTTTTACATAAAGTGAAGGGATGTTCACCAATCAAGCGTAACATTATGACCACTCGTTGTCATGCTACCTTTAGGACATCCCCTCAAAACAGAACGTCCAGGGCCAAACCATTTTTGGAAAATACGACCCAAAAATGGCACAAAAGTACAAATTTGCAAGAGCTGTGATGTTGCAAGCACCCAAATGAACGAGTCTTGTCATCACCAAGTTCATCTCCCAAAGTCTGGAGTTCCCCTTAACCAACAAAAAAGGTCGGACAGGGTAACCCATGAATAATTAAATTAACTTGATTTTGGTTTGATTATACATCTCAATATTGTATGTGGATCTTTGATTTCTCTCCATCTTCTCATGTTTTCCCCAGTTTCTGCTATTGCTCACTTTTACTCAAGCTGAAGAGAAAATGCTACTACGACTGCGCTCTCCAATGGTCATAATGTCCCGCTTGATTTGAATATAACAATGATGACCTTGAAATGCACACAATACTGAGCTCATCAATCATGCACTGTTATACACCATAATTGTAATCATTCAAAGTCACATAAGTATAAAATAGTTACATGGATCTAATTTCAGTATAATTTCACATATCGTTACTCTTTTCATTGTCCTATTGCCAATACAATCTCAGTCTGTACATTCCTGAGCATTTAGTTTATATTACAAAAAATACACACTTTTCTCTCACAGTAGTATTATTACTGGCCTTCTAATACTCATACCATATGTTCAAGATACTATTTAAATGAACATATATACATTTAAGCTACATACAACACTGTGCTATTAACATAAAATTAAATTTTTTGATTGAATGCATACAGTAAATTACATCAGTCTCTTCTTGTGCAAACATCATTTCACAGCATAATTTCCCATTTTTCTCAATTCAGTAGTTATAGCAGTTATATGATAACAATAGTTTTCACGTAGTCATTATTGTGAGACAGTCCAGGTCTCACACATTTTCTTCACAGTGCAATCTTCAGCTAGCTTCACTTTCAAAAAAATAACATGTCTATAGGCTAAATCCCATATGATTTCAGCTTCAGAACATTTGGAAGATCTTTGCCACACAAACGGTGATTCCGCTGATGATTAGTCCAACAACAGGGAAAAATATAATCTGCTTCCTTACACCAAATTCATTTAGAGTGCTCCTTTAATTAGCAATTAATCATTTCATGTTTTAGAGCCAGAAAGGCAGTACCACGTGAGCAAAGTGGCTTTAAAGTCTCGAGAGCTGTAGATGATTTGATGCTACATGTTGCCTGCTATTATTGAGGTATAGTCTATAAAGTAAGAGATACATATGTAATTTCTGCGCTGTTGTAGTCATATCTACCACTCCAGAGCTCAACGCTGGCACTTCTCCGAACCGGATCATTTTGGGTTCTTCTATGGCACCGAAACCAAAGAAAATCCTCAACTGATCTCTCTGGATTGCTGGCAGTTTCCTCTTCCAGAACACTACCGCTCTCCTGGGATATGGACAAACTTTCTTGTGATTTTCTAAACATGTCATCGGATTCTGCCACCAAGTCAGGGGAAGATGGAGGCTCCGGCGTTCCAAAATCCATGGATGACTCTCGAGAAACTGAGCTGGGAGGGGATATGGTGACAGTGACTAGTGGCAATTGCACTTGGAAATTTTGAGGCATGTCATCCAGGTTGTAATCCATGCTTGGATCAAGGTATGGCAGATCCGATTGTGGGCACAGTGAGTCAGCATCCACAGTGGGTAGGGGCGAAGTCGGGTAATCTATTTGATAAAAAGGTGGATCCTCACAGTTTGATAAGGAGTCACTAAGTTCGAGCGGTTCGGGTTCGGGATCCATAAAAACGGAGTCAAGGTCGTCTTGGTCGAGCGATGTTAGCATGACCAAGTCAAAATGCACTAGATCTGACTTATAGATAGGGGCTGTCGCAACTGGTTCAGGTAGAGGAGGCCATTCAGAATCTTTGGGGTCTTCTTCGAATGTTGCTTGAGGTGAAGACGTTTGAGAGGTTGGTTCGGAAGTTGGTGGAGAAGAGATGATCACTTCAGGAATATTTGCAAGAGACGATGACCCTGGATTGTCATCAGTGGGACTTTCTGGAAGCCCTGGGTCAAAATGCTCTGAGACTATAATAGAAGGACATGTGATGAAGATACAATCCTTTGACTCAGCCACAGTCACTTCTGAAATACCAGGGTAGGGTGGAGGAGGCGAATCACATGATTCTGGTTCAGATTGTGTCGCAGAAACAGGGTCTGGAGGGTCCACAATCAGAGGATCGATGGATTCCGAATCAGACACAACCTCATTATCATCTGGTGGTGACACAGTAACCATAGGAACTGGATATGGCAGGAGTACGATTGTTTCTTTGCTCTCGTCTGAAGCTGTATCATCAGAGAGATCAGGTTTTAAGGTCACTGTATCCTCACTTTCGAGTTCACCAGTTAGTGTTTGGGTAATTGACTCATGGACAGTACTCTCTTCTGATGACTTATCTACTTCCCCATCAAGTATCCCTGTAACAGCCTCTCCTCTAGCTTTTGCAGGCTTGATAGACATTTCTACTTTCTTTGGTTTGAATGTTCTAACAGTGCTTGGAAGAATGGGGTCAAGTGGAATGGCACTCTCCACAAACATTGACTGTGGACTTGCAAGAATGCTGGGGTCCATTGAGAGCTGTTTTGGCAAACCTTTCCGGCCTGATTTCTTTTCATCTTTCTCATCAGGACAGTTAACCGCAGCATCGGCAGTGCTCTGCCGAACCAGGATTTTGCTCCGAGCCTGGGTGCCCACTGATACTTTAGATACTTCAGGTTTCTTTTCCCTTGCCCCCAAAGTGGCTCTGTCTATTTTAGATGGTTTAGATTTTTCAGCTGACTCTACGCCTGTTTTTGCTTTTGTTGCAGTTTCTAAGCCCTGTTCACCCACCAACCCTCCACCCAAACCTGGTCCCACTCTCACAGTCATGTGACCAATCTGAGGCGACCATGTGTTGTAGTGCTGGGTGAACGTGTTGAAGTTATTGTTAAAAGCTCGCAACTCTTTACAAAGGTCCTGCCGGAGATCAGCCAACTCTCGCCTCATGGCGGACACCTCTTCCTTCCACTGCATACTGATGGCAGCAGCCAGGGTGGCAGATTCTTTGATACTGGCCTGGATGGCTTTAGGAGAGCGCTCTGGGGAATTGGACCTTGGTGACCTGAAGAGACTGGGAGACACAGGAGGTCCAGACACAGGTTTGGCTGTGGCTCCCATGGTATCTGGTGGGTAAACACGTGATGGGATGTCTCTCCTGATGGGACAGCCTATATCGTCATGAGCCAAAGGAGTAGTGTCTGGTAACTTCTCATGAACACTGGGCCGGTCGGGTAAACAAGACTCTTCCTGCATATAATTTCTGTCTGGAAGACAAAAGTAAATATGCAGTTGTAATATTGCCACAGGTGTGAGCAGCTGGAGTAGATGTGCTTTGTATTGCCACAAAGCACTAACATCAAGTCATGCACTGGATATTATGAGTCAAAATAAGCACTCGGAAGCATTCTCACACAATATTAATATTTCATGGCGATTGGCCATATAATTCCATGACAGATATTTGGAGGAAATGCTTAATATTACGTTTTGCTTTTCACAAGTAAAACAACAAAAACTAGTTCTCATTTTGACTCATTTCTAATTTGTTTACACTGCCTTCTCAATATTGCAACATGCAATGTTAAATTTATTTTATGCACAAATCGACTAACTGAAAATAAACAAGGACATTTTTTAACAGATGTAAATGATCAGTTCTTGCATGCTCCTTGTCTTTGGAGATAACATGTTTTTTGTGCAATGAAAAGAAACAAAAGCAACTTTTTCAAAACTTTTCCACCAATCAGTAAGTATAGTATGAACCCTATTGAAAATGTGAGGTCCAGTTTGACCAAGGCATTCCAAGCTGCAAATTGTGACAAACCTCATGAAACGTTTTACACCTTCAGATACTGAGAAAGCAGTGTAAGCAATCATTAGGCAAAAATAAATCATCAAAGCACATCACCAGATGGCCACACCTCTAGCCTCTGAATATTTACTCTATGTCCACAGCAGGATTCTACAGTCTTATATTTTATCTTTGGGAGGAGGAGAGGAGCTCTTCATCTTCTTTGCCCGTTCATCTTCTGGGTGAATCCAGCACACATGATTGATAAAATGATTCAAACTAGAACCACAAATTCACAATTGTTACATCATATGTAGCACGGTTGTAGTACCTGGTGACAAAATTGGAAAAAAAGTGTCTTTTCCATGTTGTGTAAAAAAGGAAAATATGTGATGTGTTGCCAGGATTGGTTCCATTACAATCCCTTGTGTGGTTTTCAATAGGGTTCATAGCTTTACTTTCTGATGTATCCAATGAGCAGATGAAGCACTGTATTGTAAATACAGGAGATGGACTGTTTTCACAAGTTGCAGCTACAGAAACCAAATGTCTATAAAAGCAATGGCAACATATAACATTATACATGCAACAGAATGAAGCAGTCAGTTAAATCAACTAATGTAAGAGAAAATATCTATACCAACATTCAGCTTGTCACAGATCTTGACTACTGTCTCCAACAAATATTGATGGGTGCTTACCTGTGGTGGACCGGATGGTGGAGGTGAGAGTGGAGGTTATGGGCGGGATACAGTCATCGTCCTGGGAGTACCCGGCCTGGATTGCCCTCAGGTAGCTGTGGCTGCGCGTTCGGAAGCAGCCGGGCAGGTCCAGGGCCTCCATGGCCTGAGCCTCCACTTCACTAAACACTGACTCACAGACGGATTCAAACTGTCCGTTGACCTCGGTCTCACTCACCTAGGACACAAATATTTATGTTTGTAAGTATATATTTACACAAACGTGAGCTGGGATTAGACTGTCGTGAGACAGGTTAGTTTTACCCTACTGATTATGTGTTGTTGTAATAGTAATTATATCTATCTGGAAAAGGATGTCTCACAGTTATACTCAGAGTTTATCAGATTTTTTCAAGCACTGTTTGGTTTAGGATTTAGCAATTTAGCCGTAGTTGAGCGTTAGACTCGGAACAAATCAATATTGCTCAAATGAAGGAGATGAAGTCCCAGATCTTGCATTTATTGAGGAAAAAACAACAACAATTAATTTGTACATCTTGTGTACGGGTAATTAAAGCTGGAATAAAGAGAATGTGGAAAAAGGTAAATAAATCCCATGAATCTAAATTAATAGTGTAAATGTCTTAATACGTCTTAATAGATGGAATGTGTCCCACCTGACTGACTTGGCTGACACAACTGGCCTGGCTGAGCGTGCTGACCGCTCGCATGTAGCTCTGGTTCCTGGAGCGAAACTTGGGAGAGTTGTAATTGGTTGAAGGGTCCAGGCCGATGCTCGGATGCATGTCTCTGGTTTGCAAGTGATGGTAATTCTGACTGAAGAGACAAAAATAAAGAGAACAAACATAAATATGCCGGCAGTCACTAAGAATAAAGTACAAGCTTTACGCTTTACCAAATGGATACAGGTTCTGCTTGATGTCAGAAACTGTTCGAGACTAACATAAGAGGGCACATCTCTCCTGTAGAAATCCACTGACTGAGTATTGAAGAATAGAAATCAAAAGAAAACCATAAGAGCCCACTCCAGACCAGGAGCTGGATCCAATACATGCCACCCAAGCACAGCATCAAGGTGTGTTTGAAATCAACAGCAGGAATGAGACAAGCATTTTGAGTGCTGGAGGAAAAGACCGTCTGAAAAAAAAACGTAAAAAAATTGTGCGACAGACAGAAATATAAAACAGGTAAATAAAAGCAATCAATAATGTTTAGATGTACTGATTCGTTTCAGTCCAAGACAAAGTTAATTTCCAATATCTTTTTTCTTATAAAATTTTTTATTGCGGTTTTGGAAATGAAAAATCAACAGGATGATTTATTTTTTATTTTTTATTTTGTTTATGTCTAGTGACGCACATCCACGTTTTGAAAAAATAAGACACTGGAGCTATCGGACAGATAGCATGATTAGTTTGTTGAACAACAGGTATATGGTTTATGCGTTGGCAACCTTAGTAAGTGCACATTGCCCCAGGTGACCTCTCATTGACTTGCTCTGAGTGTTTGCTCTGCGAGGGGTCTAAATTGAGTATGTCAGCGGGGCAGCAGGCCAGCTGGCTCCCACGTCCAGCCACTGCAACGCAGCAGCACAACAGAACATAACTGGAGGAGGTGCTGAGCCTGTATTCACCTTAAGTCTGCAGCAAAATTGGTGATGTAGTTACGCATGTCACTGTTGATTTTATCCAGGCGGTAAGAGCTGTGGGTAGAGAAGAGAACACAGTTACTGAGTCCCATAAGAGGGTGTTGATGATGTGATTGCGGTGAGTTCACTAGCCACTCCACTGAATGTTTGCTTAGATTGTTCACCAAAATGTTGCAAACATTAGGGTGATAAGAATGGCCACCAAAAAATGGATAAAGTGGAGTTACGTATGTAATATTTGGGCCTTAGAGTCCAAAGCAATGTCTTTGAATGAAATGTGTTCACACACAGTTAGCATAATAATGGAGTTTAATGGGAGCTGTCAAACACACACACACACACACATTGTACCTCCATCCCACATAAGTATAGCCAGACAAAGCTTCAGGGACAAAAGCTGCATACGTGAAAAAGTGTTATTTCTCATCCCTACAATCTTTCCCAGTGTGGTTAATTGAATTTGGTTCTCAGTGCTGAAAGAGGATTTCACTAAATGGCTGTCATCCATCTCTGTGCATTTCAGCCTGGCCAGTCTTTTGAAAGTACCTCCTTTATTCTGCGTCCAAATGATGCCTGCCTATATCGCAATTTTGGTCCAACATAAAATATATTGCTATTATTATTATTGTGTGCTGCAATTATGCATACTTTCAGCTCCGTTTTTTTTTTCACCAGAGGTTACAGCAGTTCTTTTACAGGGGAAACATCATTCCTGGAGATGACTTTGAATGAAATATACCTCTTTTCCATTTTGATCTTCTGTTGACTCAGCTGTATTATATAATTCAAAGGAATGTACGCACTGCACATTCCTCTGTGGTTAATCAATATATTGGAGTTGCCTTGACCTTGGGGAACAGTCAAGCCAAAGAAAATTAGCTGACCCACATTCTTGCACGATTATGTTATGCAGAATTTACTCAAATAATGTAATCTGCAATATTGGATATTTTATAATCATGTATGGGAAAATTCTTTCTGTTTAAGTAAGAAAAAAAGAGAGTGCTATTTTATTTTTTATGGTTTTCACAACTTCCAGATAACATTGTAGAATTAGCCACAATAGCAAAACATTTCTTTGAACCCCCTCCCTCTATTTCAATGCTCTGATACATCACAGCATCAGAGATCGTAAAAGAAATAAACAAATAATAATAATATGTGTATATAAATATATATATATATATATACACTTCTACTTCCGCCTCCGTCGAGCAAAGACGTGTCTCAGACCGCTCCTGCTTCTGACTGCTTGCTATCTCCTGTTTTTGTCTTTTTCCTGGAGTTTTGCCACAGACAACTTTAACAAGAATGGAAATGATTAACTGGTCCCTCAACGCAATTGATTCTATCTTTTCAACACGTAAGCGTGGGTCTGGAGAGCCCGTGTGCCCGGACGGGACTTCACCTGCGGGGTATACTCTTGACAGCTGGAACAAGTTTCAGCCCCTATGTCTGTCGACCCTGTCCATTGAAGATCCGGAAGACGTATATATCTTTGGCATTTTGGTGGTGGGAATCCTCCTGTTTGGGTTTGGAGCAGTTCTCTTCTACCACAAATTCGGAGGCATGGCAGTTCGCAAGATTCACGACCTGCTGGCCGACAAAATTGATGGGATGTACAAGGAGCTTAGCCGAGTCGTGGTTGAGAGTGCCGTGTCTGGACAAAGGAGAGTGGTTTTGGTGGAACAGTTGATAAAAGACCTCGCAGCTCGTTCACTCGAAGGGAAAAAAACTTTGGAGTTGAGATTGAATGACATCGTGTGCCAGGCTTGAACTCTCTGACCCGGCATGGATTTGCCCCTGTGTACGGAGGTCTGAGGGCGCCGCAATTCGGATTAATTGGATTTAATAGAATATCTGCCTGCTTTTGACTGCTACATTGCATTAATATTGTCCCCCTGAGGCGATGTGTTTTCTCCTCCTGTGCCTTCTCTCCACTCTTATCTCACATTCCTCGGCCAAGGCCATAATAACAAGGTCCCATCTACAACAACTCACACTATTCAGTCTCCAGCACGGATCCCTCACCCCCGCCTCCCTCTACCTATCCATCTTGCTCCCTCCCTCCCCTCCACTCCTCATTGTGTTTCTGACTCACCCCCTCCCTGACCCCGCCCCCCTCTGACAGCCACATTGGCCGGCTGTCGGAGGTGCTCATCCCGAGAAAAAAATCCGTGGTTTATACAAAGCACAATGGGCCTCATTCACGAATAACTTCGTAAGAAACTACTCAACTTTCTTCTCAAGTTGTCCTTAAAGACCTTATGACGGGTTTTATTTATTTAGAAATACAGTTTAAATACCATTTTATATTAGAAGAGAACTACTAAAGGTTTCAAAATCAGTTGTTGTTTTTTTTGTCTGATCCCCCCAAATCGAAATAACCCCATAGCAACGCCCTTAGAGACGAAAAAACTTCACAGCCCTTGGTGACGTCAGAACGGGTACGTTTCAACGCTGTAAGTTGTTTACAATTTGGTATTCGTTCTTTTTTCGCGGATATTCAAGATGACAAGGCCGTGTACAGCGAGTGCTTGATAAATACTAGAATGTCACATTTCGTTGTCACTGAGATAGTCCAGTGGTTGTGTCGATGGACTGCCAATCCAGATACTGGCGTTCAAATCCCACCTTGGACACTTTTTCACACTCAAAACGGCAATTTATGTGTAGTGAGCAATTGTCACCTGTAGAGTGCAGTATTGTGTTGGGCATCAGTGGAGAGAAGAGAGAAAAGGCAGTCCTGTGGCATAGATCCATGGTTTTCAATGCATGGGCGTAACCCGCTATGACGTCACACACAGGTTAGAGCATAGACAACTTAAATTCATGAAAAACACGTTCTTTTTATAAAATATAGGATTTTTTTTCGCGGGAATCTCTTTCAAATTGATATTGTCATGCAATTTTGATATCCACTATATTTTTTTTTAAAAACCCGTCATAAGGTCTTTAAGTAGATTTCTAAGAAGTCCCCACGTGGGATTCATCAACGCACTCGTAAGCCGCTGAATTGTTCGCAGCTGTTCTCTCAAATTGATGAATCCCATTTCCTCGTAAGTAGAGCGCGCGTGCCAGGTGCTTCATTAGCATAGGTACTTAGCATAAGTAACCGCCCACTAATGCCCATATAAGGGACTGCAGGGCCGTGTGCAGACGGCAGAGGAAACAGCAACAGGCCTTTACACGGAGCAAAAGTCACCCTTTTTTCTTCTTTTACCAGACTGAGAATAAAGTTATAAAATGTTGACTTAAAAGTCGAAATATTATGATAATAAAGTCGAACTAGCAAAATTATGAGATTAATCTAAGAATATGATGAGATTAATCTCAAAATGTTATGAGCTTAATTTAAAAATATATTATGTATTATTTTAAAGATGAATCTCAAAATGTTTTGAGATTAATCTCAAAATATTTTGGACCCTGGGAGGAGATCCAGCGCGGACCAGCGCTGAGACCAATGCAGACCCGAGGAGAGACTGGAGTGACCAGCACACAGAAACCAGCGCGGACCTATAGGAGAGACCGCATAGACTGGAGTGACCTGACTGGAGAGACCGGTGCGCAGAGACCAGCGCGGACCGAAGAGAGGCCGCATAGACCAGACTTGAGAGACCAGCGCGGACCCGTATGGAGAGACCAGTGCAGACCAGTATAGATCCATGGGAGAGACTAGTGCAGACCCGTATATGGGAGAGACCAGTGCAGACCCGTATAGATCCATGGGAGAGACCAGTGCAGACCCGTATATGGGAGACACCAGCGCAGACCCGTATAGATCCATAGGAGAGACCAGCGCAGAGACTCAGCGCGGACCCCGCAGCCTCCTGCAGCAGCAGTATATATGCCGTTGTTCTGTGGCCCGTGGATAAAGAAATGCCCCCTATAAATAGGAAGGGGTCACTAATACACGGCAAGATTTCCAATGTATTTGATAAAGCGTTGGCACATTTCATTTCAAAATGAATTAAAAAGTAGGCCAGATCTGCAGTGAAAAAGGCGGTATATAAATAAAGATTACTAATAAAGATTACTACAAATAAATAAATACATACATCGATATGACGGACATATCACTGGAATGTTGTATTTTTATTCAACTTCACCAAAGAGGACAACCCCCGCGTGTGAACATGTCGGCACTGAATGCGTACGAGTGCTCCTGAGGACTCGTAGGATTTGTACTTGCCCAAGAGAAATTCTGGTTACGAGAAATATTCGTGAATGCCACTTTCTTCGTAAAAACCGCGTAAGTAGGATTTACGTACAAATCTGTTCCTAAGAACCGTTCGTGAATGAGGCCCAATGTGTCTATCCAACTGTCTGTGAAACTGTATGTTATTGCTCTCTGCTGTTTATTCTACTGTTTGTCGCATGGCGCCGTAAAGATGGCGCCGTGGCAAGAGCTCTGGTGTGTGTCGTCTTCTCTGTCTGGTGCACACCGGGGTAGTCTTGCACAGTTTTTCCAATGTGGTTTTACTGCAAATAGCAAATAAATGAATCTGAATCTGAATCTATATAAATAATATATATAAATATAAATATATATATATATATATATATATATATATATATATATATATATATATATATATTATATATATATATACACATATCATTATTATTTTTTTATCTCAATAATCAAGTTCTAAGCATTTCTGCAGTCAAATTACATTAGTTATACACCGCTAACGGCAGGTGGGTTCAAATCCTTGTCAAAACAGCCCCTTTCTGAGTGGAGTTTGCAAGTGCACCCTGTGTCTTTTATTTTTCCCCAACCATTAGAACAGGTCAAATCCTCCAGCTCCGGTTCTGACCAAGCTGAGCATCAGGGCGCTGCACTGAGGTGACCACTGCTTCTGACAGGTTGCCCTATGGTGGCATTTGCAAATTGCCTTACGGGGATCAATAAAGTATATCTTAGCCTTCATCAAAATGTATTAGCATTTATGACAATCCCAAACATAGCACAAAAGGTAAATTTTTGTTTCTCACGTTTCAGGACCTTCAGGACAGTAAACATGAGTAGAGACTGCCCTTTGCAATGTCTCCCTTAATAATAATGACACAAGCAGGTCTATGACCC